GTAGCCTACCACACTCCTCCATCCATGGGATTTTCCAGGCAAGAGTACTGGAGTGGGTTGCCATTTCCTTCTCCAGAGGATCTTCCCAACCCAGGGATCGAACCTGGGTCTCCCACATTGTAGGCAGATGCTTTACCATCTGAGCCACAAGGGAAGTCCTACACTATTAATATATAGTCCTAATTGTGTAAATATGTCAGCCAAAAAAACTTTAAGAAATAAAACACTGTAATTGTTCTCAAATTATTCATAAATAAGACATTTAGATAACTAATGAGAACCTACTGTATAGCACAGGGAACTCCACTCAGTGCTCTGTGGTGATCTAAATGGGAAGGAAATTCAAAAAAAGAGGGTATATGTGTAGCATATAGCTGGTTCACTTTGCTGCATAGCAGAAACTAACACAGCATTATAAAGCAACAATACTTCAATAAAAATTTTTTTTAAAAAAATTTGGGAGGAAGGTATCCTCTGCGTTTAGCATATTTCTTGGTCAATGATGACCAGTAAATCTTTGTGGAATGAAGGGATGTATGAATGAACAAGGTGATGTTTTAACATATATCTTTCCTTTGTTCTTGAAATGCAGAGCCAGGATTTCCAGGACTGAATCCTCCAATTCCTTGGGAACATGCACCACGACCCCATTTCCCTCTTGTCCCAGCTTCGTGGCCTTATGGTTTGCATCAGAACTTCATGCATCAGGGAAATGCCAGATTCCAGCCCAACAAACCTTTCTATACTCAAGGTACCATTGCTTACATATTTGTTACAAGGCTGAGTGGGTTTTGTTATGGGACAGTGGAGCCTTTATAAAGGCCAGGATCTGGGAGTGAAACTATGAATTCAGTAAATATTTACTGAGAGAGCATACTATATGTGAGACTGTGCTAGATGCTTATTGCTCAAGCAGAATTAAATAAACACCTACACTTAATACATATTTAATTAGGAAAGTTAGACATGTAAAACATACAAGGATAGGAGCTTAGAGGAATCCATTAACTTTGCCCTAGCAGAGAGAGCAGAATATGGACACCAAGGATCAAACTGCCTAAGATTTTTACATTTGAATTAGGTCTTGAAACATATGGAATTTTTTTTCCTGGAGATTGTGTAGAGATTAGAGAAGTGTTCTTAGCTGAGGCAAAAATATATGCAAAATCACTCAGTTTTACCTCAGTAAAAAGAAAAGGAAAAAAGAGAAAACAGTAGGAGTAGATGAGGTAAATGGAAAAATGTGTGGGTAATGAGGCTAGAGAAGGTCGGCTGAGGTCATATTATAAAGGAGTTTGGATTTAGTTTAGTAAGCAATGGAATCTAGTAGAATTTTTGAGTTGAGTAGTGTAATAGTCGATTTGTGTAGTAAAACTGAGATTTGAATGACATTTGAATTGATTATATTCTGTTGGTACTTATGTATCAGTAATGGCTTTGATCTAAGTAATGAATAGCATTTTATCTAGTCTTATTTGCCTCCACAGTTTATCTCAATTCAGATAGGGCATGTCTAGGGGAAAATAGTTATTAATTCTAAGAGGTTGTCAGATAAATAGGCACAAGCCTTTCAGTTTCCTGTCTGTGTTGTGTCCAACAGACAGATGTGCCACCCGTCGGTGTAGAGAGCGTTGTCCCCACCCACCAAGAGGAAACGTGTCGGAGTAATGCAAGTCCATTTTCTTTCAGCTGGTCTACAGATGCACAGCAACCAGCCAATCCTGCTGTCTCAAGGGTATCCGTACCTCAGTGTCAGTTACATTCAGCAGAAAAAGTGACATTTAATGGAAAATAAAATAAATCAGGTTCTGATTTAAAATTTTAACGTTTAGATAGCTTATTTAAATTCTAAGACTGTTTTTAAAGACTGTATTATTTGTATATAAATATGAACTATAGTTTTTACTAGTATCACCAAATTGAGTGATACAAATTTCATCTATTTTATTACCCTATTTTTAAGGGAATTTTGTTTTGTTTAACCTTGATGAATTGTATAAAGAGAGAATTTAAAAATTACATTCTTTATTTTCTATTAGCTGTATTCATACTTTGGTTGCTTCAGACTTTATATATATTGTTCTTAAGAATTAGGAAAGACTTTCATGTGTTTTAAATTTGTCACTTCTATTCTTTACGAAACCTTGTAGTGCCAAAAACTTTTTAAAAGGTAAAAAAATAATAAAATAAAACCTCAAGATTGAAGATTTAGAATTTTTTTCTTTTACATTCTTGTATATTGAAAATATTCATACTTGAACAGAAATTTGCTTTTGTCTGTATTTGAAGTAATTCTATTTTAAGTTAATAAATCTTTTTGACAAGAGTCAAATTTGGTTAATTCATCTAGTTGTTTAGATGATAGGAACATAATGTTACAATTCAGAGATTTTTTTTAAAAGTATGTATTTATTTATTTGGCTGCACCCTGTCTTAGTTCCCTGACCAGGGATCGAACCCAGGCCCCCTGCATTGGGAGTACAGAGTCTTAGCCACTGGACTACCAGGGAAGCCCTGGAGATTTGTTTTATTCCCAGTGAATAGACTATTCTAAATCACAGACTTAGTTTTAGAAAAAGATATAAGAATCTTTTCATTTTATTTTATTGGATCTTCACAACACCCATATGAGATTGATAGACGAAGATACTATCTCATTTTGTCATTGAAAAAACTGGAGGTGCAAAACAAAATGAATTCTAAAGTTAGGACAGTTACATGTTGGGAATAGAATTGAAACAGATCTTTGAAGCAGAGTTTTTTTTTTTTTTTTGAAGCAGAGTTTTTAAACCACTGAAACTGATATTGATGCTTAGAATGGAGGGAAAGTAATTCTTATTTACTGAGGAACTAACATATGCCAGACTGTTTTGAGCCCTGTATTACTGCCTGGAAAATACACTTGCACGGATGGTGTTTACCAATAATACCTCGTGATTGGTGATTATGGTTGGATTTCAAACTTGTATTGTTGGTGGTAGATTTCTTAACTATTCTTGGTACTCTACGTTGAAGTGAGGTCATCTTATATGAACAACTGAGAGAGACTTGCCAGGGTTCAAACTAAATGATGCTATAGATTTACTTGGAAATCTGCAGAATAAGTAAATACAAATGTCTTTTAAGAACAGTATATTATCTTTGTTTTGCTTCCTCACAGATACGTGTTCCTTAAATAGGAGAGCATGTGGGCTTTTGCCACAGTTTCCAATATGGAAGGAAGATGCTTGAAATCTATTGCAGGTGGTTGGAAGGCTTTCCTGCTATACTTATAGCCTTGGAAAGAAATTTATTAAATGTTAAGCTGTTAGTTTTTCATATTAAAGCTTCAGCATGCCTTGGCGCTCATTATGAATTACTATGCTGTGCACCTGGAACTAACATAGTGTTGTTGGTCAGTTAAACTTAAAAAAAAAAGCTTCATTCACAGCCTCGTGGAATCCTCCTAAGTGGTGGAGTTTAGCTTATTGGTTTTATTAATAATGAGGTAAGTAATTGGCCCAACGTACACTTTTCTGTTAAAATATGACTTAAGAGAATTCAAGATTTTTCTTTAAAGTCAGTGTTCTAAGCATTTCATGTCCTTTCAGGTCTTAGAGAATAGAGTGCTGGTTTTTCTGTTCTACTTTTGTACATATTTTAATTATTCATTAAAAAGAAAATGATTTGGGAATTCCCTGGTGGTCCAGTGGTTAAGACTGTGCACTCGCACTGCCAAGGGCCTGGGTTCAATCCTTGGACGGGGAGCTAAAATGCCAAAAGCTGTGCAGTGCAGCACCCCTTGCCCCCAAAATTAATCTACAAGAGACTGCCCCAGTTCAGCCTTCCGTCTCAAAGGTAGGTAGTATACCATCTGGCAAAAGGTATTTATGGGGCAATAAACCCCAGTCACCTAAGTTTTACTTCTTTAACAGTGTTCCTATGTAGTAATTTCCGGCATCTCACTTGTCCCTCCTTCAGTAATTGCTAGTATTCAACTGTAGAAATGTTCAAGTTGAAAAATAGAAAACTTAAGTTTGTAATTTATGTGGTAGTAGCTAAGTTTTAAAATGTACAGACTTTTCATATAAACTATAAAATTATGAATTCAAATCTCTTGTAGATCAATTGAAAAGTCTGAAATTCAGTCTTCTGCAGAGAATACACATATATATACACACATGCTTAAGATCACATTGCTTTGAAATTTTTGTATAGTGTTTAATCACATGGAGTAATTAACATTTTCCCTTGTCATTAGGTTATTAAAAAATATGAACAATAACATACTATATGTTCATTCAGTCCCCTGTAGATAGACATTTCTGCTGTTTCCAGCTCTTCTCATTTATAAAATATATATGTAAAATGATGATAGAATAGGCTGCTCTTGTATTTGGTTATAGGCAGCTCTCAGTATCCACAGAGAATTGGTTCCAGGATCTGTGGCAGATACCAAAATCCCCAGGTACTCAAATCCCATAGTTGGCCCTCCATATCCACATCTGTAGATTCAGCCAATTTTTGATCATGTAGAACTATAATGTTTATTGGGAAAAAAACTGCAAACAAGTGGACTCATGCAGTTCAAACTCACATTATTCAAAGATCAACTGTATTCTATTATGGTGAATTCTTATAAATGGTATTATCAGATAAAAAGGATAAAGGTTCAAAGGTTCCTGCTGAGCTCTGCCAAGTCGCTTCTTTGTGTCCAGCTCTGTGGGACTGCGTGGACTGTAGCCCTTAAGGCTCCTCCATCCACAGGGTTTTCCGGGCAGGAGCACTGGAGTGGGCTGCCTTCTCTGCTCCCGGGGACCTTCTGGACGGAAGGATCTAACCCGCGTCTGTGACGTCTCCTGCACTGACACTGGCAGGTTCTTACCACTAGCGCCACCTGGGAAGCTACATATTACAAAATTGCTGTGTTGCTGAAAAGTGGTTACTAATTTGCAATTCCAATAAACAATTTATCAAATGTGTTGGTAAGCTTATAAAAAAGCCCTAAACGCCAAACACAATTTTTCCTTGTAAAGGATAATCTGTTTATTACAAAAAGAGCATTAAATAACAGTATAAAAATCACTAAAAATTCCATAAACCAGAAATACTATTAATATCCAGTGAATTTCATTCTTTCAAACCATCTCTTTAATATACATGTATCATATATATAGTTACACATACATAGGACAAGTTTTACAAAAGTGGGTTCATATGCTGTATTTAGTACATATAGCAAATTAATTTTACTTCAATTTAACCAAAGAAAAAAATGTAAAATTTTCAACTTATAAAAAAATTTTTTCTACAAGAGAATCTAGTTCTAAAGACTCCTAAAATTAAGGACAAGTATAGAGAACATTAGAGAGGCTGGAGTTTTTTTTTTTTTCCAGCTTCATGTATGTTTTAGAGATCGTATGACTCGTCATAAAAAATTGAGTTCTACTTCCTGCTTACATTATTTCTGCACAGTGTTCAAATATTTCATTTGTCTTAATGATTTCCCATTATTTTTACTTAAAATTTCTGAAGTGTTTACTGCCATTTCTTTTACTACTTTTTTTTCCCTAAGTCCTTAATTTGATTCATTTCTTGTTCAGTAACATTAGGCAGTTTTTTCCCCAAGTGGTTGTATGCTTATAAGTACTTGCATACTTAAGAATGTCTATTCCCTTTATATTTTAAGGACAACTCGGGCTGGGTATAAAGTTCCTGGCACACATTTCCTTACACCTTTGGAGCCTTTTGCTTCACTGCCTTAATGGAGACCTGAAGCCATCCTGATCCTTTCCCTCACTATACATGACTTGATTTCTCTGCTTGGGTACCCATATAATTCTTTATCTCTTTAAATCAAGGTGATTTTTCTTCTGTTTGAATTTAAGTTGATTTGCTCAGTTCTCTTTATCAGAAATATCAGTTAATCATAGGCAAGATTTCTTTCCATATCTTTTTATCTCTACAGCTTTTTCCATTTTTTATTTCCTCCAGTCTGTTTTCTCTGTGCCTTGTCTATTTTGCATTTTGTGAGGCTTTCATTTTCAGTTTTCAAATCTTCATTTCTTCAAGCTCTGCCATGCTTACTTTCCACCTCTTATCTTTTAATCTCTTTGAACTTGTATTTAAAAAAAACAGATCATTTTACCTTTTTTGAATCTGTAGAAACTTGTTCCTTTTTTGGCTCAGAATGACCAGCATGTGAGCATTCTTTTCTGATTAGTGCTTAATTAAACTTAGATCTGCCAAAAATAATGGAAAGGGGCTAGAGGAATGAACTTTAAGTTGGGTTGTTACATTGGAAGCCTCTCACCAAATCCACTGTTTCCTTTGCCCATTCGTTAGTATTAAAATGTTGTCATGCCCAATGGCAAAGCTTTTAAAGCAGTATAATTCAAATTGTGGGGAGTATAAACAATTTAGTGGTTGTACACCCAATGGTAAAACTGATAATGCATAGAAATATCAGAATGTATTTTGCATAAGGAATATTTTCTTAAAATCTGTTTTAGTGCAGAGTATGTATAAGTATAGAGGTAAGATGCAAAATATGTCTCAATACAGGCCAAAGAAAGTTGTAAACCTTTAGTTCCAAGGCCTCACTCATGCAGTAGGCTAGCACACAGATGACAGAAATGGTCCTTCAGCAAGGTTTGTCCTAAATTCATCTGCTCTACAATTCTGTAGTTTATCAAAGTGATCTCCAGAGAGAGAGGTTTGACATGTCCCACTCTCAAGTAGGCTTTAAGTTTGTAGTTTATGCTTGGGAAGGTTTATTTTTGGTATTAAATATTACTGGGGTTTAGGGTGGGTTTCTACATTTTTATACTTTAAAAATATACTTTTAAAACTAATATACTGGACGATAACTTGGTTGGTCCATAGGTCGTTCAGCCAGAATACACTTTTTTCTTCCCATTTAGAACACTTTGATAAAAGAAATAACTGCTAGGACTCTCTATAACAGATACAAATAGAGGTGCTTACATTTAATTTTTAAAGACAGTCCTATATATAGTTGTATGATGAACCATAATAACCCTTATGATTTTATTAGCTCAAATATTATCAGGAGAGCAATTATTGAAGAACATGAAATCTCCAAATATGATCCCCAAATGCTTTAATATTGATGCAAAAGTCCTTAAGTTCAACAAGTAATAGGATGTTTAGCCTATGAATAGATATGACTTCCCAAGAAACTGGATCCTGTGAGGCAGTCTGTCTTCACAATTGTTGCCAGGGGCAGAGCCACAGGAAATCAATTATTTTTTCCCATTTTAAAGGAGGAAAGGTAAGTACAGGTAGAGAGAACTCTAGCAAAGATCCAACACCCTCTTGATTATCAATATCCATGGGCACTATTTAATCCTTATTTTGCTTCTTTGTCCTTAGCTCAGGGGCAGAGCTGCAGGAAATCAATTATTTTTTCCCATTTTAAAGGAGGAAAGGTAAGTACAGGTAGAGAGAACTCCTCTAGCAAAGATCCAATACCCTCTTGATTATCAATATCCATGGGCACTATTTAATCCTTATTTTGCTTCTTTGTCCTTAGCTTCCTTAACCCACTCTCTCCTATTTCCTCTACCTTTCTGAAATGATTCATTTCAATTTTCAGTCAATGTTTGCACTTCTTCCTCAACAGTGTGAGTGTTGCTTATGATTCTACTACTGGTTTTCCTTACAAATGTACGCTCCCTGGGCATTGCATTCAATTCTACACCTACTACAATTACCTAAACATTGTCAATTCAGGATCAGATAACTAGCTCAACTCCAGTTCTTATTTATAATGTCTGGGCTTTATCTAGACATACCATAGCTGTCTCAAAGTAAACTTCAAGTTAAGCTGAATGCATTGTTTTCTCCCTACTACCGCAATTCTCACTACCTGCTCCTCTAAAGCCTGGTCTCTTTCTGCTGTATTTTCTGGTTTTGTGAATGGTGCTGTTGTCCAGTAACTCAGGTTAAAACCATGAGTGGCATCAGGTATTTTTCTCTCCATTGAATGTTTTCACCCTGGTTGCCCTACTGCTATTGCCTAGTCTTGCTAATACCAATGCTCACAGCATAAAGGTGCTGAGCACCTTAATTTGGAATTCAAGGCTATAGGGAAGAAGAAACAACACTATACAGTAATGCTATGTAACAGGTGTCAAGTTTTACTGTTTGTTGAACGATGCAACTGGATTAAATGATCCAGAAAAAGCCTTACAACTGAATTATTATAAAGCTGCTGATAACAGGTCAGTTTTCATGTTTATTACCATTTGCTGCTGCTGGAAGTAAAACCTAGAGCTAATATATTTTACCAACCTGGTTTTTTTTTACTGAACAGCAAGCAGTAGCACATATCTCAGAATTCTCAAAACAGTTCTAATCTCAGTGTAAACCGAAACTAAAACCACAGAAAAACGGGAAATGGGTGTGTCAAATTTAATAACAAAAATAACAAGGGGGCCACATTCTCCCCTTAAGGTGATTGTACAAAGAGGCCAAAAGCAGCTCTCAGTTCAGGAAGCATTATCTTTCAAATGTGTGTATTATGTACAATTCATGAAGAGATACAAAATTCAGTACCTCTTTCATGTTAAAAAAAAAAAAAGTGAAGAAAACTTGGTTTAAAAAAAAATCTAAAATATGCTCATAGCTGCCTGGGACTGAGTAGATCTTTCTTCCACGTAGACATATGCCTTCGTCTCCACAGAAGGCCACTTGTATTAAAACCAAACTAAGTCCATTATTCATTCCCTCTCCGGCTCTTCTTGTGGCTTTTCTTAGACCTGAAATGGTGACACATACAAATCATTAAATTTACCAGCTGTTTTAGGAGCTGAGCAAGGATTTTTGAGAAAGACTGATACATGCTAACACTGATGGGGACAGAGAAGACAGTCAATGTTCATTAAAAGTACTTGGTGTTTTTATATTTAAGAGCAACAATGAGTTACGCATTACTCTCCAAAATTTACCATTGAAGAAATGACCTCTGAGAGATGGAGTGCTTCCAACAGTGTACAGTATCTAGAGGTATCTAATGGGAGCTTACCAAATGAAAATGACTTATCCAATGTCACTCAACTGCTAAGTATTAAAAATTGGGACTGGGACTTCCCTGGTGGTCCTGTGGTTAGGAATCTGCCTGCCAATGCGGGGGACATGGGTTCAATCTTTGGTCCAGGAGGATCCCACGTGCTGTGGGGCAGCTACACCTGTGTACTGCAACTACTGACTGAGCCCATGAGCCCTAGAGCCTGGAGGGGTCACTGCAGCGAGAGGCCCACACCACGGCTGAAGAGTGACTTTCACTCGCCATAGCTAGATAGGGCCCAGCAGCAAAGAAGGCCCAGTGTGGCCAGAAGTAAATGTATTTTAAAAATCTTAAAAGCTGGGACGGAATCCCAGGTCTCCTGAGATTAAGGCTCATGCCTTTTCAAAGCTGCAATCCTACAGGAAAAACAAAATAACTATATATATACACACACACATAAAATTCTAGTAATTTTCAGGGCAAGAGACCACTTCGTCCTGTAATTAAGGAGAATTCCTAAATTGTATTGATGGAGATTATATACAATTTCAAGTCCAACTGAGATGTAATTGGGACTTTAATTTGTGAATAAAGATTTCAGTCAGAACAGAAGTTAACCCGTACCTTTCAGGAGATTTTGAGTGGCTCCTGTGTCTGTGACTGCGGTGATGACCTGGAGAACAAAAAAGGCTGTTCAGTGTACCAGTTTCTACCCTCATACTCTCTGCTGTTATTTCCCCTAGTTCCTTTCATTTTTGGCTTGTGATAGGGACACCTTGTTGGTAGCGAAGAACTGAACCCATTTAGCCTTCAGGGCTTTATGGCTAAATTTCACTAACATCACACTGGGTATTTACCACTATTCTGTCATATCTTACTCCTATAATTTCAGAGGAAAACTGAAGCTCACCATCCTATCAACAAAGCTGGTAAATGACAGTTAAAATGTGAACTCTAACTGTCTAGGCAGTAATGGAGTAAGGTACTCCTGTATTGTAGGAGGCTAATTGCTCCTATTACATTTCTTTATTAAGAACCAACAGCAAGCAAAAGGCCCCAGTGCTGTACCTGGGGACTTGGAACGGGATCTGTGCCGTCTGTCTCGGGACCTGCTGCGATGACGTCTTGGGCTCTTGCTCCGATGCCGTTCTCGGCGAGGGGAGGGGCTGTGGAAATGACTGGTCAGACTCCCATATCTGTCCTGACACATAAACACAACAACAACACCCCCCCTCCCCCAAATCTCTACCCTTCATTACAAGTCATTAAGGCCTACCTCCTCCTCTTGGGAGATCGACTCCGCCTATATGGAAAGAAAAAAGAGAGAGAAGAACCTTAGTAGGTGCCCTGGACACTGTAAATTGCAAAAATTGCCCCAATTCTTAACCCAACTCTGTTATCCATGTCCTTTGTCATGTAACTTTAAGACCCTCTGACTCCCAAGTCTGGGATTGGCCATGTGACTTGCTTTGGCCAAAGGGGTATTTGTACATGTGATGCAGATGCTACAAAGATTACTTGCATGGTTGGGCTTGTTCAGTCTTGCATTCTGCCACTGCCATGGGAACAGGCCTAACCTAGCCTAGAATGTGACATAGAGATAAGCTGCTCCAGTCATCCTAGCTAAGGCCACCTACACTAGCCAACAGAGAGTATTGCAAAACAAGTGAGTGACCATAGCTTATACTAAAAAACTGCCTAAGCCCAGATTAAATCACTGGCCACAGACCTGTGAATTAAAATGTTTGCCACTGAGGTTTCGTGGGTGGTGTTTTTGTAGCAATTAATACATTGGCGAGCACACATTCTCCAGAGGTTAGCATTTTCCTTCCATGAAGTCCAAACTTCTACACTCTAGTGCTTAAAGTATCCCTGGAAGATGCCAATGACTAAGGCCTTACCTTCTGGGAGACCGACTCCTACTCCTCCGATAGCGTAGCGTGGGAGAGCGACGGGGTTTGTCCAAGTCTCGGTAGCTTCTCCGGCGATGATCAGGTGATGGCACTCTTTCCAACTGGAGAAGAGATGGCCTGGGTCAGTGATGAGCACAGGCTGATAGAGAGCCAACTAGGAACATGGCTTGTACCCTCCTCCCCATCCCATCCCAAATTCCACCTCCAATTGACTTTAAAACACAGTAATTTGAATATATATGGGATAACACTAAGGACAAAAAAACCCACTACCAAATAAAAAAATTAAAATCTTTCTAATAATCCCGTTACTGTTCTAGTGCTGGTACCATTATTCTGGAGCTATGTAAGAGTAATGACAGGTAAGTATGCTTATTTCCTAAGAAGTTGGATTTCTAATGTGAAAGAGAGATGTAAAACTGATGAGGTTAAATGCAGTGTATTTTAAGCTTAAAATTTCTTTTTCCTTTAGCTTTATCAACTGTAAAGTCCTAGAAATACCATGTAGCAATGAGCCCAGATTGTGGTCTCTAAATAACATATCTCAATTAATGGAACTAAGACCTTCTTGGAAAAATGGCTACTTTTAGGTCCAGGAGAGAATATAACAAGACATACCTAGAACATGTCATTGTATCAGATAGCAAGGGGCTGAAACTACTAGGATTGTATCCAAAAGTGAAGTTAATGGGCCCCCACCGGCCAGACATAGGACAATTTCAGCATCAACAAGGACAACAATGGTCCAGAACAACAAATATACTTAAATTGATAAATTCAAATGTTACCAAGGGCATACCTTCTTAGGAGAATACTATAAAATCAACTCATGATTTTAAAAACTGACAAAGGGAAATAAATAATTTATCCTGCTTTTCTTATATAAACTTTATAAAAATCAATGTTGATTTGGGAGGTTTTTTAAAAATATCATTTTACAATCCTTAATGGGTCTATGCAGAGATCATCAGTGGATCCTAATATTATAAAAAGAGAGCAGACTGTTCATCCTGGAGGAAGTACACTATATCTATGAAGTAGTGTTTCTCTACTCCAAAAACCCCAAATCCAATTAAAGACTCAAGAACTAGTTAACAGAAAATAAAATAGACAAATGAACACGTTAAGTGATACCACAGGGACACAATCACAAAAACAGAGATTATGAAAATTTGTAAGAATGTTATGACCTGACATTTTAATATTAAGGAACCACTGACTTAAGGGCTGATGATAGTATATGGCTGTGCCTTAAAAAGGGGTCTGTGTTTTTTTTTCTGAAATATGATATATGAGATGGCTGTGATCTGCTTTGAGATAACTGGTGAAGGAGACTGAGTAGATATGGAGGAAACAAAATAGCTGAGCTGATCACTGTTGAAGCTAGGTGATGGGTAAATGGAGGTTTATTCTCTCCATTTTGGTATGTGATTAAATTTTCCATTAAAAAGAATGCATATTTTTGGTTCACTCACCACAGAAAAGCCCCTCAGCCGTGCCTGGCTTTCCATTCATGAATGACTGTGCTTCCCTTAGCACTTATCTTAAATGGAGTCTACTAAGCTCAGAGCTACCCTTTCATCTGCACTACCTCAGTATCTACAGGCCAGATGTCTTATATTTCCCCCTAGCTTTTTTACACATATAATTTTAATCACAAATGTTTTAAATCTTTAAAATAAAAACAAAAAGACACAAAGCTTACTGTAATCGTTTCCACATTATCACATACATTTTTTTTCTGGCTGCACCAAGTGGCATGCAGGATCTTAGTTCTCCATGCCACCCTGCCCCACAGCAGATGCATGGAGTCTTACCCACTGGACCTCCAAGGAAGTTCACTGTTACTTTTCATGATACTTCTAATGGTGGCCTAATACTCTGTTGAATTGTTAGCAATAGTTTACCTGACTGCTCCCTGACAATTTGCTGTTTTCAAGTTTTTAGCATTTTAACAAATAGTGGAAGAACATGACTATGCAGTAGGTTTTTATTTCCCTAAACTAGGTTTACTTCTTAGTATGCATTCATTTATGATCAGTATTATTTCTGTCCCACGTATTTAATAGCTACCACTTATTATGAAATTATAATGTCCCAAAGCTAAGGGCTTTATGTATGTAATTTCATTTAATACTCATAAAAGTCCTAAAATAAAGGTATCATAATCTTTGCTTTATAGAAAAGAAAATGGAGATTATGTAATTTACATAACATAATGCCAGTAGTAAACAGGAGAGCTGAGATACGGATCAAGTCCATTTAACTCTAGGACCCACACTCTCAATGATGAAATACTGTATTCTGGGGTTTTTCTTTTTTGGTTAAAATTAAATAAAGTTTGAAAACAAAACAAAAAAGACATTCCCATTCCCTGTAATTCGCCCTCCTGCAACCCTTCAGCTCCCAGGTGCCTCACCTTCTCATCCTCCTCTTCCTCCTCTTCACTGGACTCCACGTCGTCCATGTCTTCCTCCAGAGCGCTAACCCGCGGCTCCAGCTGCTCGGCTTCCTCCAGCACATAGCGTTTCTACGGGGAACACGGTGAGAGTCAGAGAGGGCCCTTCATCTCCTGTGTCCTGAAGCGCCAACACTGGGCTTCTGCAAGTGGCAGAAAACCTATGGCACAACAGCCGAGGCAATTTCATTTCAAAGATATCCTAGACACAGATTTTCTTAGAGCATTTAGCACACCTAGGATCTATATATATTTTTAAGTTTCCCTGTAAAGAGATAAATTCAAAGATGAAGAGAATATCACTTTTCTATTGCCTCTATTCCGTGTGACCTTATACTCTAAAGTAACTAGAATATCAATCAGTATAGCTGTAGCCTTGAATAAAAATTATGGGCTTCACACACAAGGGTCAATAGTTCAAGACAATGTTGGCTGGGAGTTTTCCAGGAGGGGCTCAGACCAGAATCCACTAAGAGATTCACTGAGACTCAGTCCAGTATGGGGGTTTGGGTCCTCCTGCTCTTAGTTAGCACCAATTCTCTCACAGACCCAGGATTTGGGGAGCTGTCTATAGACATGCATTTTGAACAAGGCTCAGGACATAAACAAACCACCTCCTAGTTTCATTTTCTTCTAAGATGTGACTTAGCAGTCCTAAGTGACTACCAGAAAGACAAAGGTGAGTTCAAAGCAGACAAAAGGACTGGCTGGGTCATAAGACCCTTATGGTTTGGTTTTTGTTTTTGTGTGTGTGCGCGCCAAGGACATACAGATCACTGGATAGCCCTAAAACAAATAATAGCATTTGTACTCTTATTTTGCTCTCACTCATCCCTAACAAAATTCTATAAAGGTTAGGAGAAATGAGATAAAGATGCCATTCAGTGAAGTGAAGCCCTTGATAAAGGGTTCCTTGGAAAAGATCACCACAGTCTGGGATCTAGGACTACATCAGACAGGGCATCCAGAATCCCTGATGCTCACCAGACTTGGAAATGATCAACATCAATGTATTAACTTACAGTATTTGTATTTGATAAAATTAGAATTCATTCCAGAGCAGCTCCCTGCCAACGCCAGGGCACTTGAGAAGCTATGCCCTATGGGTTGCTTAAAAGAAACAAATCAAAGCTAAAGGTAGTCTTAAGGGTCACTTCATCCAGCACATAGAGAGGCCCACACCAGAACACACCTCTCAGTGATATGATAACATGTATCAGTCATATTTCAACTTTCCTCTCTTCAGTGAGGTCTGCTTTGTGATCTTCTAGACTCCAGCAGACTACCCCATATGCATCAACACTTGCTTGCTTGCTCAGAGGTGACTGGACTTTAGAACCCTTAGTCACAACCTGGCTATAGTTCGGAGTATATAATTTTTTACAGTATTTCTAAACATAATAATCCGCACCCCACTCCAGTGTTCTTGCCTGGAGAATCCCAGGGAGGGGGGATGGGGTCGCACAGAGTCGGACACGACTGAAGTGCCTTAGCAGCAGCAGCAAACATAATAATCACAGCTAAGGATAAAAAGTGTGAGAACTGGACCCTAAAACCAGGTTTTCAGATTTGAAATGTCATCCTTTTCACTACAGTCTATAATAATCAATATGGAAAAGAAGATATAATTTCCAGAATTCTTCTCTAGGGTTTTCTGTAACTGAGTCACTCTGGAGAAGAGGGGTTCACTGCACGTATCTGTGAGCGCTCCTCTACCAACCATCTCTATCTGCTCTGCTGCCTCAAGGAAGTTTACCTTACGCACCTATCATATTACAATCCATTCTATATTCCACACTGACGTTTTCCAGGTCCCTATGATCTGTTTTTTATTGAGGTGAAATTCACAATGTACACAATTAGCAATTTTCAAGTGTAAAATTCTTCCATCACCACCTCTCACTAGTTTAAAAACTTCCTCATCACACCAGAAAAACATGCCATACTTATTAAGTAATCATTCTTCATTCCCCTCCCCTGGTAACTACTAATCTCTACTTTGTCTCTTACATATTTACCTAGTCTGAACAGGCAAGTTTGTCCCTGGAGTACAAAACGAAACAGGGCAAAGGCTAACAGTTTTGCCAAGAGAACACTGGTCATAGCAAGCACCCTCTTCCAACAACACAAGAAATGACTCTACACGTGGACATCACCAGATGGTCAATACCGAAATCAGACTGATTATATTATTTGCAGCCAAAGATAGAGAAGCTCTAATATAGTCAGCAAAAACAAGACCTGGAAGTGACTGTGGCTCAGATCATGAGCTCCTTATTGCAAAATTCAGGCTCAGACTGAAGAAAGTAGGGAAAACCACTAGACCATTCAGGTATGACCTAAATCAAATCCCTTACGTTTATACAGTGGAAGTGACAAATAGATTCAAGGGATTAGATTTGGTAGACAGAGTGCCTGAAGAACTATGGACAGAGATTCGTAATACTGTACGGGAGGTGATGACCAAAACCATCCCAAAGAAAAAGAAATGCAAGAAGGCAAAATGGTTGTCTGAGGAAGCTTTACACACAGCTGAGAAAAGAAAAGAAGCAAAAGGCAAAGGAGAAAGAGAAAGATACATCCATCTGGATGCAGATTTCCAGAATAGCAAGGTAAGAAAAGAAAGCTTTCTTAAGTGAACAAGGCAAAGAAATAGATGAAAACAGAAGAATGAAAGACTAGAGATCTCTTTAAGAAAATTGGAGATACCAAGGGAACATTTCATGGAAAGATGGGCATGATAAAGGACAGAAATGGCAAGGACCTAACACAAGCAGAAGAGATTAAGAAGAGGTGGCAAGACCACACAGAACAGCTAAAGAATAAAGGTCTAATGTCCCGGATAACCAAAATGGTGTGGTCACTCATCTAGAGCCGGACATTCTGGAGCATGAAGTTAAGTGGGCCTTAGGAAGCATTACTACAAACAAAGCTCGCGGGAAGTGATGGAATTCCAGCTCAGTTATTTCAAATCCTACAAGATGATGCTGTTAGTGCTGCACTTATTATGCCAGCAAATCTGGAAAACTCAGCAACTGCCACAGGACTGAAAAAGTTTTCATTCCAGTCCCAAAGAAGGGCAATGCCAAAGAATGTTTAAATTACTGCACAGCCGCACTCATCTCACGTGCTAGCGTGGTAATGCTCAAAATTCTTCAAATTAGGTCCAACAGTATGTGAACCAAGAACTTTCAGATGCACAAACTGTATTTTAAAAAGGCAGAGGAACCAGAGATCAAATTGCCAACATACACTGGATCATAGAAAAAGCAAGGAAATTCCAGAAAAACATCTCCTTCTGCTTCACTGACTGTGAAAGCCTTTGACTATGTGGATCACAACAAACTGTCAAAAGTTCTTAAAGAGATGGGAATACCAGACCACCTTACCTGCCTCCTGGGAAACCTGCATGCAGGTCAGGAAGCAACAGTTAGAACCGGACATGGAACAATAGGCTGCTTCAAAATTGGGAAAGGAGTACATCAAGGCTGTATATCATCATCCTGCTTATTTAATTTCTATGCAGAGTACATCATCCAAAATACTAGGCTGGACGAATCGTAAGCTGGAAACAAGACTTCCAGGAGAAATATCAAAAACCTCAGATATGCAGATGACACCACTAAATAAAGGCAGAAAGCGAAGAGGAACTAAAGAATCTCTTGATGAGGGTGAAAAAGAGGAGTGAAAAATATGGCTTAAAACTCAACACTCAAAAAACAAAGGCCATGGCATCTGGTCCCATCACCTCATGGCAAACAGGGAAAAAATGGTAACAGTGGCAAATTTTATTTTCCTGGGCTCCAAAATCATTGCAGATAGTTGACTGTAGCCATGAAATTAAAAGATGCTTGCTCCTTGGAAGAAAAGCTATGACAAACCCAGACAGCATATTAAAAAGTAAAGACATTACTTTGCTGACAGAGGTCCATGTAGTCAAAGCTATGGTTTTTCCTGTAGTCATGTACAGATGTGAGAGTTGGACCATAAAGGAGGCTGATCTCCAAAGAATTGAGGCTTTTGAATTGGGGTGTTGGAGAAGACTCTTGAGAGTCCCTTGAACTGCAAGGAGATCAAACCAGTTAATCCTAAAGGAAATTGACCCTGGATATTCATTGGAAGGACTGACTCTGAAGTTGAAGCTCCAATACTTTGGCCACCTGATACAAACAGCCCACTCACTGAAAAAGACTGATGCTGGGAAAGACTGAGGACAGGAGAAGAAGGGGGCAACAGAGCAGGAGATGGTTGGATGGCATCACCGACTCAATGGACAAGAGTCTGAGCAAACTCTGGGACATACTAAAAGACAGGGAAGCCTGGCGCACTGCAGTTCTTGGGGTTGCAAAGATTTGGGCACGACTTAGCAACTGAACAGCAAAAATACTATGTGACTTTTGATCTTTAAATTATTCCTTAATGGCTTTTATCTAGCAAGGCAAGGTGGGATACAGCAAACTGCTTCAGAATTACTGAGCTACAGCAGCATCACAAAGGAGATCTTAAGTTCTGGGTCTTCCCAATTTGGGTTTCTGTGGTTGCTTAAAACCGAAGAATCTGTTCCCATGTCCCATTTTAAACACTGTCTCTGGGACCCTTTCATCAAGGCTACCAATTTTACACAGACTATCAGAATCTGAGAGTCAAAGACTCTTGTTAGTCTACAGGTATTCCAATGATTTTTGCAATAGATAACTGATACACAATAAACTGTAATTTTTATAGTATACAATTTGATGAGTATTGTGCTGTATACAAATTAAGTCAATACATCAGTACAATGGATAGAGCCACCCCACCCAATAGTTTACCTGCGCTCCTTTCTGATTTCTCATTCCCTCTCCTCCCCAATCCCTTACTCTATAACTAGGCAACCACTGTTCTTTTTTGTCACTATAGTTTACATTTATTAGAAAAGAATTACACAGTACATACAATTTTGTGTCTTTTTTCACTCAGCACAATTATTTTATGATTCATCCATGCTACTGCTATTTATCAATAGTTCATTTTTGCTGCTGAGTAGTATCATTATATGGCCACATCACAATTTGTTTATTCATTCACTTGATGGACATTTGGGTTGCTTCCAGTTTCTGGCCATTACAAATAAAACTGTTAAGATTACCTGTGCTTAAGTCTTTGTGTGGACATATACTTTCATTTCCTGAGTAAATTCCTGGAAGTAGAATAGCTGGATTGAATGGTTAACTTCTTAGAAACTGCCAAACTTTTCCAAGTTTGGTTGTTCCATTTTATGTTGTCACCAACAGGCTATGGAGACTTCTACTTCCTCCACATCCTCACTAACACTTGATATGATCAGTCTTATTTTACACATTTTACTAGGTATGTAGTGCATATTTCTATGCCTTTAATTTGCATTTCCCTAATGATTAATGATATAGAACACCTTTTTAATGTGGTACTGGTGGACTATATTTTCTTTGGTAAAAGGTCTGTTAAGAATTTTTTGTTCATTTTCCCACTGGGTTGCCTTCTTAGTAGTAAGTTCAAGAGTACTTTATAAAGTACAGATTCAAGAACTTTTATGGATATATGTTGTACAAATGTATTCTTCCAGTCTGTGGCTTGCCTTTTTAGTTTTGTAATAGTATCTCTTGAAAGGCAAGTGCTTAATTTTTATAAAGTCAATTTATTAATTTTTAATAAATAATTCACATTTTGTTAAAAATTTGTCAAACACAAGGTCACTAAGATTTTCACCTATGTTTTTCATAAGTTTTCTACTCTCAACTTTTATGAGTCTATTATCCCCTTCAAGTTTATTTTTACATATAATGTGAGCTAGGGGAAGACATTCATTTGTCTCATATGGCTATTTAATCATTTTAGCACCATTTGTGGAAAAGATTATCCTTTTTCAATTGTATTGCCCTAACATCTCTGCAGAAAACCAACTGACCATAAATAGGTATTATACACTTATTTCTGGTTCTTTCACTTTGTTCCACTGATCTGCTTGTCTAGCTTTATGCCACTACAACACTGTCTTGTAATTAGGTAGTGTTTGTCCTACTTTGTTCTTTTTCAAAGCTGTTTTGGATATTCAAGGTCCTCTTCATATTCACATACATTTTAGAATTAGTTTGTCAAGTTCTAGCAAATTTTATTTGGATTTTGATTGGAACTGAATTGAATCTATGGATTAATTTGGGAGAACTGACAACAACTGTTAAGTCATGGTATCATATATCTGATATATATATCAGATATATCATGAACATGATATATCTCCATTAATCATGTCTTAACTTCTGTCAGTAATGAAATGTTTTATATTAACAGTTTAAAGTCTTACACATTTTTGGACAAAATTATCCATAATTATTTTAATTTTTGATGCTGCTATATATGGTATCTTTTATACAAAATCTCAAATTTAATTGTTCCTAGCTCATGTACAGAAAACAACTGACTTTTATACACTGACCTTGCACCCCACAATTCTGCATAAATAGATGACTGGGTAAACAAATTGTGGTATATATACCCATGCAGAAGAATATTATACCTATTTAGCAACAAATAAGAAACTATTAGTATATGCAAAAACATGGATATATTCCAAAATAACTATGTTAAGTGAGGAAAGATTAAAATATTCTTTTTCTAATTCTTTTCCTATTTAGGTTATTACAGAGTATGGAGCAGAGTTCCCTGTGCTATACAGTACTGGAGGATATTATTCTAAGTGAAATAAATCAGACAAAGACAAATACTGTATGATATCACTTATATATAGAGTCTCAAAACAGTAACAAACTAGTAAACATAACAAAGAAGCAGACTCACAGATATAGAGAACAAACTAATGATTACCAGTAAGGAGGGGAAGGGAGAGGGAACTAAAAGGAACAAAGCATTTGAAATCAAATAAGCTACAATATATTGTACAGAGCCACTGTTTTATAATAACTAAAAATAGAGTACTACCTTTAAAAATTGTGAGTCACAATACTGATATACCTATAACATATAATACTGTACATCAACTACACTTCAGTTAAAAAAGACTTTGAGTTCCATGGTGTTTCATAATGTATGTGTATAAAGAGATCTTTACACACATTTTATTGTGTGCTGTGTATGTATGACCTTTATCTCTTACCTGTAGCCGGGGCAGAATAATATCACAGACTCTCTCACTGTGCAGTAGTTCATCAATAAATTCATCTACATGCATCAGCTCAAACTCTGAAAGAAAAACCGTAAGCTTAAGTAACTTGGAAATAAGTTTAAATAGCCAAAAAGTTAAAAAAAAGTTTAAGAGTCTTTATGTATGATATCTAACAGAGTATTTGGCATAGAAAGTGTGAATCTTCTGCAGCTTCCCTCTGAGTGTGTGTGTGTGTGACTTAGTCGCTCAGTCATGTCTGACTCTTTTGTGACCCCATGGACGGTAGTCCACCAGGTTCCTCTGTCCATGGGATTTTCCAGGCAAGAATACTGGACTGGGCTGTCATTTCCTTCTCCAGGGGATCTTCCTGACTCAGGGATAGAACCAAAGTCTCCCACATTGCAGGTGGATTCTTTACCATTTAAGCCACCAGGGAAGCCCCTTCCCTTTGCCTACACATGCACTAATAAAGCTGCTACAGTGCTCGCTTCGGCAGCACATAAACTAAAATTGGAACGATACAGAGAAGATTAGCATGGCCCCTGCACAAGGATGACACGCAAATTCGTGAAGCATTCCATATTTTTAGACTCTACCAGAAAATTACTAGAGCTAATCAACGAATACAGTAAAGTTGCAGGATGTAAAATTAACACACAGAAATCTCTTGCATTCCTATACACTAACAATGAGAAAACAGAAAGAGAAGTTAAGGAAACAATACCATTCACCATTGCAACAAAAAGAATAAAATACTTAGGAGTATATCTACCTAAAGAAACAAAAGACCTATACATAGAAAACTATAAA